TGTGCATTAAGTCAATCCAGATAATTATGATTATCCGAGTTGACTTAAGCCTTAATTCACTACACGGCTTTAACGGTTCCCTATACAAAGCAATTGTAAACTAGATAAATCATCATGTGTAGCAGATGTTTGTTGTATGATACATAACATCTAAAATCATCAAACATTTGTATTTTACAAAATATATAAACTTTTTTGCCAAGAAGTAAATACAAAATTTAATCCATGAATATGCTCAGAAAGGGGCTATTCTATCATAATCACAGTTTAAATTCTGTATTTATTTCTTAGTAAAGAAGTTTATCCATTTTATAAAATACAAATGTTTGATGACTTTAGATGTTATGTACCATATATTTGTAAATGTTGAATCATTTACATAATCGGTCCATTTATATACAATATTATTATCTTGACTTGACCATTCCAAAGCTAATTTGAAATAAGTTTCTCCCAATTTTGTATATATAATATAGCCAGGTATTAAGGGCACAAAAACTTTATTACTATGATCACTTTCCATCCCTGTCACTTTAAGTGCCAAATAAACACTATTTTTATTAATTTCATCAGGAGATCTTAAATGTTGTGGCAAAATTTGTAAAGAATTAGTTTCCTCTCGAACAAAGATACTACGTCCAGGTCTTGAATATTTATGACGTTGATCATTGACTTCCAAAAGATATTTGAACTATCAATTATTACTCTATTAAAAATAAAATATAAAACTACTTATTTATGAGTATTAAAAAATATACCTTATAAATTCTAAATTTATTTTTACCATATTCACCATTTCTAAATAATTTCGTAATTGGTAGTTTGATTAACATCTACCACTGCATAATTAGTTTGATTAATATTTAACATTTACGTCTGCTCATAACATGATTTATATAGTAATAGTAAAGACACGTGATGTTTATGGTTTATTATATAAATTAGATTATGAGCATCGTGCAAAATTATCCGAATTGAAAAGATAATCGGAATCTGGTCTGATTCTAAATACAATAATTTGGATAATTGAAGTTTGTCAAAAAAAACCAACTTATATAGTATTAATAATGCTCTAAACTTCATTTTTATTATATTCGCATTTCTAAGTAAACTTTTAGAAGAAGAATATTTTCTAAGTTTAATAAGATAATAATTCGAATTGATGTAGTTAAAGCAGGTAATAAGCATTTTTAAAAGTATAAACTTTAAAATACATTCAAAATGAACAAAAAATATACATTGTGAACTCGTTCTGAAAATACAAAATTATTGGTTGTTGCTTCATCTTTGTCACGTTCTTTTATTCTATTTAAAATAACTTGGTCCGGTGATCGACATTAATTAATATATGTATAAAAGATCCTACCCTTAAGCCTGTATTTTTCTTTGTTGAATCCACTAATAAAATCACGACAATTAACCTAACGTTGTTCGCTTAGTCTACCACCTTAATATTATCGTTATGCCAAACACGCATCGTGGCAAGCATGCGAGATTGAAGCGGATGGGGATGGGAAAGCTATGACCGTCGTTCATTATTAAACATATAAATGCTACCTTATTTACCATTGGAATTAGAACTTTTTTTTACAAACAGAATATTTAATCTACTATCATTTTTTTCTTTTATAATGCAAATGAGTAGAAGTGACATTATATGCTTCTGTTCTTTTCTTACAATATAAATTACTTCAAAAGAATTTCGAACTT